GTGGACCGCTGTGCCGCCTTAAATGCGAATAAGACTGCTATCAGCGATCTTGTGGAGGCCATGTCTCAGCTGGCTGAGATTACAGCCGATGTGGAGACCAATCTGGGAGAAATTTCGAGCATGCTGGAGGCGGAAGCCAAAGCGGAGCGAGAGTTCCAATCCGCCAGCGGCGTTCAACGTACTCCAAATGCCCACATTACTGAGTTATCACGAGAGTTTCAGAAATACAGTGAAGCCCATGCACGGGCAGGGGAATCCAATAATACCTTGAGAAAAGCCATGAGCCTGCATGTAAATAATCTGAAGATCCTCGCAAGACCGTTGCCCGAAATTCAACAACTGATGCCCAAACTAAGTTCGGAACTGAATACCACCGAAATTTTCAGGGATGTGAAGCTCATTCTCAACAAAGTCAACGAAATGAAGGCGCAACGTGCTCAGTTCCATGCGGATTTGAGGATAGCCATTAATGAGGATGATATAACTGGCAAAGTAATTGCGCATGGTGGACAGGAGGGCCTCCAAGCATTGTTTGCAACCGAACTGGGCAAACACGACAAGATCACCGAACTTCTGGATCAAAATATGGTGGCTCAGGGTAATATTCTGCAAGCACTAACCGAAAACTATGCCAAGGCGGCACCAGTTTTAAAAACACTCCAGGACGTGAAGCAGAAACGGGAGCACTTTTACAGTTCGCTGGCTGCATCCTACGATGTTTATGAGGATCTGCTGGCAAAATCCGCGAAGGGTTTGGAATTTTACAAAAAACTAGCCGGCAATGTGCAGAAGCTGCTTACCAGATTTAGATCCGCCAGGGATGTGCAGTCCGAGGAGCGCCAGCAAAGGATGCAGAGCGTCAAGGCCGCAACAACTCCAGTTGTCAGTAAACCCATATCGGAAGCTACGCCCGTGCCAGCGGTGAGCAGCACCCCGAAATTAAGGGACTACCTCAAGGCCAAGGCAGCCATGGCGGATGCCTCAAATCCCGCCTATGTGCCTACAGTGCGTCCAGTGCCGGTGGGCTCGGAGAACCCCACGCAGGCCGCTTGTTCCTATGCCACTGCACCGCCGAATGAGCCGCCTCCACCCTATAGTCTCACACAGCAGCAGTATTTCGATCCCAGTGCCGCTGGTTACACGAATCCCATGTACCAGCAGCAACAGCAACACATTGCTCCTCCGGCTTACAAGGCGCAAGCATCGCCTAACTCCCAGACGCTGCATGGAGCACTCGGTCAGATGAACTTGCAGGGCCAGGCGCAGGATAACAACCAAGCAGGCATGGGTTACAGCTACGGGTATCCAAGTGGGTCTGTGCCTCCTCTAGCCTACGCTCCACCCGGAACAGTGCCCGCAAGCTCCGTTTCCCAGGGATTGAATATCCAGCAACCTCTGTATGTGGCTACATCGGGCAATCCAGTTTCGGTTTCCAATCCCAGTGAGCTGCCGTCCTCACTGCAAGCACCCTTTGTGGTCAATCCAATCTCCAATCCGTACCAAACAGCGGCCGGATATTCGGCACAGGCTTACCAACAGCTTAATCCTCAAACCCAACAGGTGCCTTGTTCTCCAGCACCTTCTGGCTATCCAACCGGACAAACAGCTCCACAGCCCCTGGGCTATGCCGCAACTCAGGGGCCACAGCAGCAACCTGGGGGATATCCACAATCCCAGACAGCACAGCAACAGGCGGCAGCTTATCCGCAGCAGCAAGCATCAGGCTATGGTCAACAGCTGACGCCTCAGCAACAAACGGGTTATCCCCAGTCGCAAACACCGCAACTCCAAGTCCCTGGCTATTCCCAAACCCAGCAATCCGCAGGACTAACGCAGCAACAGACACCTCAGCAGCAACAGACTGGATATCCACAGGCACCACAGCAGCAGATGGCTGGGTATCCGCAGCCCCAGCAACAGGCTACAGGGTATCCCCAATCGCAGACACCGCAGCAGCAGGCCACCGGGTATTCCCAGACACCTCAACAACCACTTGCGTATCAGCAGCAACCCTCTGGTTATCCACAACAACAACAGCAACCAGTTGTCCCGCAACAGCCATCACTTTATCCATCGCAGGCTGTCCAATCATCGCCTCAAACTGTTCCAGGCCACCAGGCAACACCGCCGAATGCTGGGCCGCCTTTGGCATATCCACAGCAGTACACTGATCCCAATGCAGCTGGTGCCCCAGCTCCTGCGGTTTCTCCTGTTCCAAGTCCTGCTCCAGCTCAGACTGCAGCCCCCACTTCATCTCAAGCTCAGGTTAACACGTCTCCTCATCCCTCGGCCACCTACAGCAGCTATTCCAACCATCCTGGCTATAGCTTTAATCCGCAGACAGGCAAATACGAGTACAGCAGTGGCTATCAGCAGGACACCAGTTCGTTGAAGGGATCCCAGGCCTCTCAAAGCTACCAGTTCAGCCAGAGTGGCAAGCAGCCGTCGGTGGGAACCACGGACTCAGACATTGCGAGTCGCAGCAATACCGCCACAGGATTCGATGTAAGTTTTACGTATATTCACGCTATTGAGACCTTAACAAAGGAATTTCTTTCCCCACAGTCGCCTATCGTGTCCCACACAAAGGTTAATATGGCTGCAAAGGACTCCACTTCCGCGATGGAGGGCAAGGAGTCATCCAACTACTATTCTACTCCTTATGGATATCATGGAAGTGTGATTCCGCAGCAACAACCCACTCCTGTGCCTCCTACGAATTCAACTGCGTCCATTTATATGCAAAGTGGGGCGAGCAGCACTGCAGAAACGCAGACGACCTCCAGTGGCGCTCCTTACGCCTCCTCCACGGCTATGACCAAAGTAGAACCAAAGCCGGAGGCAATGGCGCCCAAGGTAACCAGCAATGTGGACCTGCTAAGCGACCTGGACATTGACTGCTCCGTGGCTGTTCCGCCGCCAATGTTGCCGCAGCCCGTGTTGCAGCCCCAGGTGCTGGCCACTCCCACGCCTCCGGGAAGTCAGGTTTCGGTGCCTGTTAAGGTTGAAAGTGTTGCCGAGCACGTCGCTCCTGCAACACCTGAAATTCCTGTAGTAGCCGTCGAAGGAATTTGTCAAACTCCAGTTACCATTCCTGCGGGTCCGAAGTGTACCAGTTTAGATAACCTATCTAACTGCTCCGACTTGAGTTCCCTGGAGAACTTTGACTGGGACTCGGTTTCCGTCACACATTCCGTCAGTGAGAAACAGCCCAAGGCCTCTGGCACCGCCAATGGCCATGCGAACAGCTTTGCATTCCAAACCGAAACATTTACCGACGAAAAAACGACCAAATATTTCCAAAAGGAGGTGGAGAGCTACGAAAAATTGCTGGAGAATCTGCACGTGAAAATGCTGAATGGCAAGACACAACTGGGCGCCAAATGGCAGGAGCTGCAGCAAAAGCTGGACAAAGAAGCTGCTGCGAACAAGCGATCCACCACCATTGCGAAATTGTTCCCGGAGAAAAATCGATCCCTTGATTGTCTGCCCTACGATCATGCTAGAGTAAAGCTGGACAAGCAGACCGATGACTACATCAATGCCGCCTACATGAAGGTGAGTTATTCCACCAACTGTGATTGTGTCATAGAACAGGATCTGTAACCACTGTTTTTATTCATTTAGAACTTGAGTGCCGGCTGTCCCAACTTCATTGTCGCTCAGACTCCCCAGCCGAACACCATCAACGATTTCTGGTCCATGATCTGGTCGGAGAAGTCGCGCACTGTGGTTTGTCTGCATACCACAAATGAAGTGTGTAACCCAACCAAAAGTGTGAAATTAGTGAATCTAAATATTTACGTTTTACAGCTGTTTGATCCCTACTGGCCTCAAGCGTTGGACCAGCCCACTCACTACGATGATTACACCGTGACCTGTGTAAAATTGCAGCAACTTAGCCACTGCTTCGATTACCAACTCAAATTGTCCATGCATGGAGCGGACGCCGTGCTGGATTTATCTCTTCTGCAGCTGAAACAGTGGACCAAGGGGTAAACATCCAGATTTCATCCAATGGAGGACAATGAACATTGTTATTTTACAGAGCTCCAGCCCAACTTTTGGGAGTTGCGGAAAATGCTTTGGAGACCCATCGACAACGCTGCCAGGCAGCGAATGCTCCCCACTCGCCGCTTATTATGAACTGCCTAACGGGTTCAGAGCGTTCCGAACTGGTGGCCATTGGAGTATGTGCGATTATAGCGACGCAGAGCAAGCAGCCAATTTTAATAAGTGAGCATAGTTGCGTTTTAATCGGCTTCCAATATACTAATACCATATAACCCATTAGATACGATTGATGTTTGGTCTCGCATTTGTGCGCAGCGTCAAAATTCCCTTAGGGATTCCGCCATCCTGGAGCAGTCCATGCAAATTGTGCTCTGCAATGCCCACAATGTGCTCAACAAGCGTAAGCTCTTTAATTTGCCATTGTAAACTGTGGAACTCACCGAACCATTTTCGTGCAGGTGGCATAATGACCTCATATCAAATGAAGATGGCGCCGCAGGTGACCGCCAAGGAGCAGCAGGAGAACAAGGATCCGCTCAACGAATTGGATGCACTTTGGAAGCTGAAGTAAACGACTGAGCCAAGCAACCAAGCGCGGTAGATAACTAAAGATTTATGTGTAATCGAAACGAGTATTTATACAAATATTTAACTGTGCAGACCTATTTCTAACTATCTAATATTGTTTCAAACAATTTAAGGCAAGAGAAAAGTATTTAAAGGGCTATCGAAAGCATGTTTTACTCTGTATCGCAATCGTCTCTTTCAACTGTTATGTAAAGTCTAATTCGACGCAAACCGAATCGTGATGTGTACGGGCTATTGTCAAGCGTTTCAAACCACTGTACGAGTATATTAGAAATCAATCAAACATTTATATCACCTAATAAAATACATTTGAAATCAAGTGGGTGTAGAAAGCATTCCTTGTGGAAAAAATCACTACCAACCAATCCGGCCAACATTTGTGTCGAACTTACATCGAATCATGAAGGTGATTAGCTTTCGCTGGAAGAACTGCCTGTCAGGCCTTTTAATAGTGGCTTATCTGGTGAGTGCCCTGCTGTATTTTGGCATGGATATCACCAGTATTGAGCCAGTGGAACCAAGAGTAGTGAAAAACAAGACCAAAGTGGGACGAATGTTTGCCAAAAGCATCAATCATGATGGAAACTGGGAGACTATTGTAACTAATCCGGAATTAAAGCCCAGATATCGGTTTGGCGGCGGAAGGACTGGCGTCAAGTTCGTGATTGGAGTACCCACTGTACTGCGACCCAAAAAGAACTATGTGCTCCAAACCGTGGACTGTCTGATCCGTCGAATGACTCCGGAGCAGCGCGACTATTCTCTAATTGTGATATTCGTGGGCGAGACTAAACTGCAGTTCGCCAAGTTCATAGTGCAGAAACTGCAGGCGAATCATTCAACGCATATGCGAGCTGGCCTCGTCGATGTCATTGCGCCGCCCCTGAATTACTATCCCAACTTCTCGAGACTCCACCTCACTCTGAACGATGATCTACAGAGGGTTCAGTGGAGGACCAAGCAGAACCTGGACTACATATACCTGATGTCCTATGCCAAAAGCAGGGGCTTATACTACCTGCAGCTGGAGGACGATGTGATGGCGAACGTGGGTTTCCTGGACTACATCCAGAAGTTTGCGATGCTGCATGGCAGCTTTCGACTGGCCCATCAGATCGATTGGATCGTGATGAGTTTCAGTGACCTGGGCTTCATAGGGAAGCTCTTTCGCAGCTCCGTTCTCAGCTCGTTCGTGGCCTATCTAAGGTTGTTCTACAGCGACCAGCCCATTGACTGGCTGCTCCAGAGCTTTGTGACCCTGCAGAGCTGTCGCTGGGATAGCGTGTCCGATCCGGACTGTCAGCGGGACTTCGAGTCCAGGCTGCTTCGCTCCGCGCAATCCCAGTTCCAGCATATGGGTGCACAGTCGTCGTTGGCGGAGAAGGAGCAGTATCAACAGGATGGCTTCTTCAATCAGAACATTGGAAAGCAGCGCATGCAGCATCTGCGGCAACCTCTCAACCTGGTCGCCTCCCATCGGAACTCGCTATTGAAGCACAATCTCAACCTGGAAGCGGGGGAAACTTTCGTCTGGATCTACATGCCTCGGATGCCCAAGATGATGAAGTATCTGATAACCAATCAGTTCAAGAAGACGCAGATTCGCATCCGCAATGCCAGAGAAACGGCCCACAATCTGGCCGAGTTCAATATTGAATTGGTTAAGGGATCGCCCACTCTGGTGGCCAACAGCTCCTCCACAAGGCGGTGTGGATTCGTCATGAGTCACACCGTCCAGCCGTTTGCAGTAGGAGATCAGAAAGCGGAGCTCCCCTTCAAATATATGTACTACTACATAAGGGAGGAGCCCGAGGGGCTCGCCTGGTTCCGTCGGTTCCTTTGGGCTTCCAGTGGATCCTGTTGCCTCCAGCTACGATCCACAACGGTATTACTTCTAATCCCTTTTCAGTTGCTAACTACTGATTTATTGTAGTTAATAAGCTGCTTTCAACGGCTGTTCCATTCTCTATGCAAATATTAAAAGCACTTTAGAAAGTTCAATTTCAAATACTTGAGTTATTTATTAAGCTTATACACACATTACACGCATATTTGTTGTTCTTGTTTGATTTCGATTAAGTTTTGAGTTTTGTCCCAACGGCTTATGAGTATTGTAAAATGGTAATTCGTAATTTGTAATAATTCAGCTACGATCGTTATGTGTTGTCTTTTCATGGAAGGGAAAGCCTATAATGCCAGCTAATTTAATTTAATTTAATTCCGATTGATCACTATCCACTATTATTGTTGCTTGCTAATTGGTTGCAATTTGGCAAAATGAGTGTTTCGGGGAGAGCGCGGGGAGGTGCTGTAAATTATTGTTGCTAGTTGCCGCACACATAACACAGGAATATATAAAAATATATTTATGTTCGTACAATTATGCAATAGTATGTAAGTATATGCAAAACATTCGTTTCAATTGTTCAGTTTATCGAAAGCAGTCTACAATATCTGTTACTCTATATATAGTGGCATACGAATTGAAATTGGATAAGCTTTAGGAAGTGAAAAATGCATCACAATGCACCGCATCGAACCCAAGTCTTAAATGTATATGCCACTATATGTTGCAATTCTCGTTACTCAACAGGAACCAAGTTTAAACAATCGTCATTCTTGTTTTTAGTTTTTCATAGTCTATCAAAAAATTTGGCGTTTCCAATTAGTTAAACCAATCATAAAATGGATCGTATGTATATAAAAAATGTTTTCATATGAATGATTGTTTTTTTGGAATTTCGTTTTACAATAGCTAATTAGAGTGGTTTGTTTTACATTTACGTGTATATATAATTTAGGTATATAATTTTGTCATTGTTATGCACAAATTATTAACAAATCACAGTAAAAAAGCAACAATGCTAAAAATCGTTTCGTTATTTAATGGTTCAATGTTTATGTTTATGCATATTATTTATTTATGTAGTTATGGCTTCATGTTCAAGAAGGTGGCTATATTAAACTAACACAAGCATTCATAATATTAAGATAAATTATTAAAGTAAGGGAATATTTTCAACAAATGTACAGATTAAACTTAAGTGTGCAACAAAGTGTAAATATTTCTTAATTCGTATTTGATCAATAAGATTTCAGCGGATTCGAGATTCTTGATCACTTGGAGATTCAGGAAATGGAAAGGATATAAACTGGAATGTGTGTTTGGGTTACCAATAAAATGAGGTTAACACTTAAAACTTAAGAAAAAACCAAAAGATAATATTCAAACAACATAGGAGTACCAAGAAATCGCCTTAGTTACATAGCCCACAACTTGATCCACGTAATCTATACCAATATATTATATTATACCACCATGAAAAAATGGAAGGGGCACTTGGAGTACATACATATATCAAATCCATATGGTTATGCGAAGAATATACTGACAGCGCGGGATTAAATAAGACTTTTGGGAGACTGTAGACCAATGATATTGCTGAGGCTTGTAACGCTTAAGTTAAAGAAACCCTAACAAATTGGTTCTGGGGATGTGTGGCAATACAATTGGTCTACAGCCATACTTGAGCCTTATAGCTATAGCCTTATAGCAGAGCGAGAGAGATTATTTACACACTGAGATAATCGAGGGCAAAAGCGTCATTCGAAAAATATACACACAGATGTACAATTATTAGGAGAGATCGACTCGCATCTATGCCAAAACCCTGGCAATGTCTTGGGAGCAAAACGAATTCTTCATCAAAAAATTTCATATTTTTATGATACGCTGCCTATCCATGGGAAAAAATATTCTTCAAGGCAACAATTGAAAAGTTATCTTAATTACAGCTAAATGTTTCTCAAGCAATTTCATTAAGATTACTTTTTGCTCCCACGACAGTACCTGCGTATCAGCGAAATCGACACAATCCCAACAGATATAGACAAATTGTGGATGGGGATTAGTATAGACATTAACTGGAGTGGGTGACAGGGATAAGCAGGACCTGTTGCTCCTATTCCTCCCAATTCTGCCGCTGCCGATGGCGATGCAGCAATCAGCTACCCCCCACATACCGTGGTTTTGCGGCATTGTCCTCGGACTTAGGATCGCTGCCCCATTCCTGTAGTTCGATCTCGCTGAGTAGGGCCCAATTCTCGCTGTCACTGTGGACGTGGAGGCGCAGCTCCTTGATAGCACCAATCTTTGCATCCAAAAGGCCCTCGGCCACGCCTAGGCTATCGAATGAACCCACCACCAGATAGCCGTCCGTGGTGGTGTTGTAGTTGCTCCACACGGACGAGTTTTCGCTCAGCGTATCAGCCGGAAGGAGCTCCACCGTCGTGTTGTAGAACCTGTCGGACGGGTGCTCCGAGTTGCCGCTTCGGAAGAGGTAGTGCTTCAGCTGCGTGGGCCGCTCAAATATAATCTGCACCAGATCTCCAGGCTGTGGCAGCAAGCCCCAGAAATAGGATTCTCCTCTGTACGCTCGCTGCAACAGATAGTTTTTATAGGGCGCAATGTTGGACTTCACCAGTGCCGGTGGATTATGTGTATGGGCATAATACTGGGGCACCTTACTGCCGAACTGCTTGTCCTTCAGCTTTTGAACTTTTCCTTTCAGCGATGAACTAGTACCAATGTGTTGGAAAAGGGATTTTCGAAAATGCTGCCAGTATTTTGCCTTCTCCGCATTGCAGTGCTTCTGATCCTTGTCCGTTCGACAAACCTTGGACTCGATAAAATACGTAAGTAGCCAGTCCACTGGCTTGTCATTGTAGAACATTTGGAAATAGGTGATCAGGTAGGGTAGCTCCGCACTCTTGAACATCTTGCCAATAAAGCCTAGTTGGCAAAAGTCTAGCACAAACCATTCTGGTTGATCGGGTTTCGTCAATGCGCTCTTGATTAAGGCGAATTTCTTCATGGTGGTGATAAACTGTCGCTTGGTCAGTATATCGTCCTCCAGCTGAACGTAAAAGGTTCCCTTCGAATGGGCGTAGGCCATCAGGTAGGCAAAGTCCAAATTCTGCTTACTGCGCCATTTAACGCGCTCCAACGGATCATTCAGTGTGATGCGAAGTCTTTCGAAATTTGGATAGTAACTAGCTGCAGGTGCTATTATATCAATCAGTCCACTCTCCACGTGCTGATCGAAACTGGCCTCGATTTGACGGGCAATAAGTTGCACGGATTCCATATCTGTTTCTCCTATGTAGACAATGATCAGTGTTTCGTTTTGCTCCTCGTCGTTCATGTTCTCGATGAGATTGTGGAGGGTTCCGAGGAGGTACGATTGCTTCTCCCTCCGCACGGTGGGCACACCCAGCACAATGCTGACATCCGAACGGCCCTTGCTTTGCAAGTATGCTGGTCGCAGGGAGCCCGCATCGTCCAGCAGATGCGGCAAGAAATGGTAGGCATTCGGTAACCGTATATTCTGGCTCCTGGCCATCGAACCATTGGCACTGCCACCTTTACTGATATGCGAGGCATTTCTCAGCAGCTGCCTGGCCTCAGGACTCAGTCCGTCGAGCAGATTGACCACGGGCAGCGGTGGCGGCGGCGGTGGAGCACTGGCTCCCGTCACATTGACGCTCTGCAACTGGCCCAGGTACTGGGAAAGCAGCGCCACGTCCTCCTGGCGGGCACGGTACATGGACTCCAAATACTGCAGTCGCATATGGCATTCGGCCAGGCGCTGCGTCAGCGACTGTTCGGTGGATAGCTCGGGTCCCATCACCATCAGGATCACTATGCATGGTGCCAGCACCAGGACCGTCACTATCAGCATGCAGTTCCGCTGCCTAATCTTGAACATCATTCGCTCTGCCCTGGATTCCTTCGCTTGCCGTCGTATTAATTAGCTAACTGTTTGCCTTGGGGCTGCTTTGCTTCCACTTCTGGGTTGGCTGTTCGTTCTGGCTCGGTCGCTGGTTCGTTGTGCTGGTGGCGTTCCCTTGGGCCGGCTGTCATCCTCGTTCCTCCTATGACTAATGCAGGCGCTGCAACAAAAGCAAGGCATTTAGTTTTTACACGGCTAAAAATGGGGGAAAATATACATTTTCAATTCAAATCGAATTCTTTCAAAAATTAAGCTTTATGCATTCAATATTCTATGTAATGACTATGTAATGAAAACAAATATATTGACCTCATATAAAAGGTGCTAAAAAATTATTTCACAACCAATTGCTGCTTGTTCAATTCTATCTTTTCAGACCTTCTTCACATTGAAATATGTTTAATTTACTGCCTATTTAGTAAACCTTTTCTGATATGATTGCCCTATCAAAACTGTTCTAAACGTTTGCTATATTTAGGGGGGACTTGTGTTTTCACATGAGTGCTTTCTTCTATGAAACCCAGTGTAGTTGCTAATTTTATTGGCTTTTTTGAAGAGTGCCGTGGGGTGGCCCGTGGGGGTTGGGTTGGGTCCCGAAGGTCGCACCGTTTAACGCTTCTTTGTAGCCGCCTTTTGCCTTACCCGGGTTGGATTAACGACGTCGTCGGTGGTGGCAGCTGTCGCAATTCTCGCCACATGACCTGGCCGTGAGTTAGAATAATAATAATTGTTATGTATGTACTGTGCACTGGAGACGTTGGCAGGCAGTAGACCTAGACTTAACTTACATGGCCAAGAGCCCGGAAAGCTATCTTCTTCCTCCTCGCCGCCAAACGTTCGATCGGTGGGTCTGAAAGTGGGAGGAAATTGGCATCTCAATAGTGGGGTACATTAAACGGGACGGTTGTTTTGGGCTGGTCGAAAATCCCATCGGGATTTACTTATTATTCACCAAGGATTTCCCGAGCCAATTCAATTAAATATAGCGCATGAAAGCATTAAATAAACATATGTTTATTTAATTTGCCGTTCGGCAAAGCTACTCATTAAATTTATATTATATATTTTTTATTAAAGCTGCTACTGATAGCGAAGAATATTCATGGACTTGGCTCGTGCTAAGCGGAAATTAAAACAAAATTTTGAGATAACTCCGAATCTGTATTTAGTTTTTTAAACTGGAAGCAATGAATGATTCACGATCAACATGACGATCACGACCACTCATTATTCTTTTAAATTGGTAAAATTCCCAATCTTTTAATATTAAAATCTGTATTTAGTTTTTATAAGCTGGAAACAATGAATGATTCACGATCAACAAGACGATCACGATCACTCATTATTCTATTAAATTGGTAAAATTCCCAATCTTTTAATATTATTATTTAAAATGTATATAGTTGGTAGTATATTTGTTTTCACACCGGGTATCAGTTATTCGATATCGAAGATCGTTACTCGACAATGTGTGAACATTAACAATATAGATTTACAAACAGACATAAATTTTCGCACTTCGTTTAGCGCACGCAGGCGAAAGTAAACAAAAATAAACAAATATAAAAAAAGATAAACAGGAACAGCGAAAAGTTCGCACCCACGCACAAGCACACCCTTATTTACTCACACTTGTTTGCAGCTCAAGTGGGCGAATGGATGAATTAACTAATTAATAAGCACTTAAATAGGAACAAATTGAACGCAGTGGACTTTATTTATACATCTGGGGATTTCGTACGCTGCTACTTGTAGCCAATTCGCAGTTTTCTCCCTTTTTTAGTGCTCTTCGTTTTTTCGCCATTCGTTTTCGTTCGCACGCGTTTCTCGTTGTCTTTACATATTTACGATTGGCCGCCGAGTGCGTTATGTAAATGTAAGTGATGTAAATTATTGCAGCACTCGTTTGCTGTGCTATTGTTTAATGTTATATACAATACAGCGGGGAATTAGTTTCAACGCCCCCGACCAAAAACAACAACAGAACAGGCTGCCTCCAAACAATCGTTATCGGCGTTGGAGGGATGCCAGACAGTCGCTGACAGCTGAGATGGCCACACTATTCTGTTATGGTTAACAGTGTCGCATTCTTAATATTTAATTATTCATTTTATTATTATATATAATATTTAATTGTAGATTATTAAATATTAACTGCAATCAATTGGTATAAACATGCAGCTAACGTAATATTTTTCTCACAATAGAGAGTACGAGTTGTACGTTATAAATTGAAAGCAGTAAGTATTCATTGTAAGCAACAATTTGACATTGGATTCTTAAATTCCAATCTATCTGATAAATTAAAAAACTCTAAATTCATTGAAGCAATATATAGCTCCATTATGTGTAAGTATGTATATGTGTATACTTCGTCAAATATATAAAATTAAACAAGCTAGTTTATAATTAAGTGTAGGGCGTTAAAAGAATTAAGCAAAATTTTCCGTTATATACGAAATATGGCATCTCTGAAATGGGTTTAGGCTAACATATGTTAAATGAACAACAGGTACCTGGACTTTACCCATCTCTAGCCGCATTTAACAACAAAAGATTTTTGCAAAAATGTATTTAACTCTGCTAAATGGTACAGGCTTCGTTTTCAATGTGGATGGTGAGTGGCTTCAAGCCCAATAATATCAGAGTTGAACTAAATCCGTCTACTGCCCAGATTACATGGAACTGCGTAGCAAATATCGCATAATGGGTGCTCCAGTGGGCACAGCGAATACAAAAGGCTGGAGTCCCAATCAATCCAGTAAGATATCCATTTCTACAGGGTTTTTAATGCACACAAATATATGTAGCAATATCTTTCTATGACTAGAACATAAGATTATTCAACAGCCGCGGGATCGAACCCTCCTTAAGATAACCTATTTAAATTTTTTTTTTAGCTCTACCCGTGGAACTTAGTAAATTTGAAACCCAATTACTTTTGGATGAGAATATAGCAAAGTTAGTTGATAAATCTATGGACTTAAAAGCAAAACCCACAGCCGAGAAAGTGGAGAAGTGCAAGGCAGATTTTGAGTCCCGATTATTGGGACAGGAGGAAGCACTGAAAACGGAGAAACTACGGGAAACTGAGCGATACATAGATAAGATTCTGACGGGAAAACGCAAGAAGCTGCTAAAGCAGAGGAAAAATGAAACGGGTAAAATGTCATTACTCATAAATTATCTTCATATTTACATATATACGAATAGTACGTTTAGTAATTGTGGTTTTCCGCAAAAACTCAGAATAACTTTAGCTTATTAGCTTATTCCTCAAATTTTAAACTGAGCCTAAGCTGCGTACTAAAATCTAATTTTTTAAAATGTGCATAAAGAAAAATTTGTAAAATACTTTTTAACTTTTAGCTGCCGCTCTGACTGCCAAAGATGTACTATTGGAGATGTCTGCGAATTTTAGATTCGATCGCCAAAACGCCTTGCTGGAGGTGCCTTGTGAACATCCCACAGATCACTGTAGATATATTAAACCATTATCTCTCGATAGTTATTTCAATTCTACAACCAACAGCTGCGCAAATAGTTACCAATCCCATTGTGAGCACCAATTCCCTGAAATACCGTGTTTTCAAAGAGCTGTGGAAGCGGGGGAAGTACGTGACTTCCGGCGATGCATTTGGAGCGGACTTTCTGGTTTACCCCGGGGATCCCATGATCTACCACGCCTCCCATATTGTTATTGTGCACGAGACCCCTGTAATTAAGCCCCTGGAACTGATAGCCAAAGTTCGTCTATCGGTGATTGTCAACAAAAGCTGTATATTCGCCTACAAGATGGAAAATGACGAGGAAATCCATTACGAAACTGTCGCATGGTGTAATCCTGGCAAATGAGAACATCCACAGGCAAGTATATTTAGCAAAATAACTTGAAACAGAAAGACTGGCTCCTATAAATTTAAAAATTATTTTCTTTATTTATCATCATTTTTCTACAATCATGCCGAAAATATTTAATTGCCAATGAAGAAAGCAACAGTCTATTATCTTATCTTTAGTCAAAATAACTCAAATAACACCCAATATTTAAGGGAATAAGAAATTCTTAAAAGTAGATTAATACTTTGGTTTCCAGACGCTAGTTTCATATGTCTATGTGGGTTTTTTTGAATTCTCCAGTGACGCATTGAAAAGATGTTACGCTAAAAAGGGAACAACTAAATTCGGCCAGTGTATTTATTTTGGCTCCAAAAAATCTACTTTTTTTTCAAGACTGAGCGGGAGAGAGTGGGCTTTCCGTGAGCATGGGTTTTGTTTTTGGCGCTGAATTGGGTTTATTTTTCAGTGGAAATTGGATACAATGCCGGAGACATTACGCTCCCGCTCCGCCCCCATTTGCACGCCGCCCCTCCCCTCCTTGCTGCTGGCCTCTCCACGTTTCTCCGTCTCGCTCTGAGCGGCAGGAGCAGCGCCAGAAACGGTTTCTCCCACTCACAGTTGGAAATTGTACACAGTGCACATGGTAAATCGGTTTATTATGACCACGACATCCAACTCGAGATGTTTGCTCGCCACTCCGTCCAGGGTCCATTGTTGTGGTTTTTGGGCGGGAGTCATTCGTCGTTTCTCATTACATTTTGTTAAATTAATTAGCCACGCAAAATGAGGTTATAATTCGATGGCCCCCATCAAACGCCAGAGCACACATGCATACATATGTATATAGGCAAACGGCGATAGGCAAATAAGTCGCATACAACTGTGTATTTGTTTTCAACAAATTTGTGCTGAATTCTTCATGTTTTGCGTTCGTTTCAAGTATATTCAGTTTTTTTTTAAATAGAAACAACGCGATAAGGCGCGGTGGGGAAGGCCAGGCAAAAGTCGTGCCGTGCCGTTCGAATTTCATACAGTCGGGTTGGCGCACAGTGGGACAACTGCTTCCTTTCGTTTAAGTTTTCATATATTTTTTTAATTGTTATAAACAACAAAACTTTAAATGGTTTGCACAAAACGCTTATACAATTTGTTCACAAAAATAAGTTATACATTTTATTTAAAAATGTAGCTATGTATTTCTATTCATACCACTTTTATGTATCTATTGTATCCCACTGTGTTTAGTTCGCACTCATTCCTCCACCTCTATCCCCGTCCCCTCCACAACCAACACTACCACTCTGCCTACTCACCCACCACCACCACCCCCCGCCTTGCACACTCGCTCTCCCTCTCACATCATGCTCCGTTGGTCGGTATTGCCAGCTGAGAAACATGAAACGTGCTCACTGCTTTAACGCCGATTGGAACTTTAAAGGGGCCTTTCGAACGGCATTTCTCATGGCCCCCTCCCCCTGCCCAGCAGCATCAAAACAGAGAAAATTGTAATCTTAAATATTTGGCCACTCGCTCACTTTATATTACTTTCTTCTCTGAGCGTTGACTAGAAGTGCCACTCTCCTTCGTTTCCGAATTCGACTAACTTCCCTATCGCGGAGTCTCTCCGCTCTTAAGCTGGACTTGATCTGCATACGAGAATGAGACTGACTTTATGTTTTTACCCTGTAGGGTCTCGGTCTCTGAGATGTGTCAAAAGTAACAGGTGATTGGATTGGATTGGCAAGGAGAGAGGAGAGATACAGAGGAAAGAGAATGTAGAGCGTAAGAGCGAGCCGGCTTTTCTACCAGTGGTTATTATTACTTTCACAGGATCTGTTGATATTTTGGAACCAAAGAGAAATCCAAGATGAATTTGCAAGCTTGGATCAAATTAATTATTCATCCAGTTCCAAATACCAATTATTAGGCATACATACATAGCTATTTTAATCCGTACTTTAAACTTCTTCGAAGCCTTTTGATCCCTAAATAGGAAGGACACTTGTTCCAAGAAAAATGGAAGATTGCATTCATAAACAGAAAACCCAATAACCTTTTGAATCTTGGTGATCATTCATAATAAATTGCTTGATTAAGGACTCGCACCAAGAAAATCTGCCTATCGCTTTAACAATAGCTAATAATGTACTAAAACAAAAAAAAAAAAAAACGAATGTATTTTTAATACAATTGCTAGAATAATTTGCAAACGTTAAATATTTCTAAATGGAATATATAATAATATATTGCATAATATTATAATCATAATAAGCTGGAAGAAATATTGATCCCGGATCCGATAGTTATGGTATCGGAACCTCTGGATCCCGTTGACCCTCTTCTTATCGCGCACTATTCCATCCGGCCGGTCGGCCGGCCACATGTGTTTTTCGTCCGTGATGTCGGCCCAGAATATTTCCATCATTCAATATTTACCACCTTTTATAGTTTTGTTTACTATCTTGCCGACGTTTTTTTTATCTTACCGTCTTGCTCTCCTCTCCTGCCTAAAAATACTCTTCCTGCGCTACATCTGGCAATGCCGCTCCCGCTCGACAACTGTACTTCAAAGGCACTTCTCTCATAGGTACACAGATACAGGCGCGCACGCACACCACCACCCAAAACAACCACCACTAACAGCACAGAAATTACACATTTTCTCCCCCGAGTAGAGAACTGAAAAACTGGCCGCGCTGGCAGCGCCGGAGCAGCGAAATTCGATCGAAACCATTTGCTCTGTCTCAGTTCGAGTTATCCAACGTTGGCGAGCGGACAAACAAGCAGGAGAAAAAAGCGTACGGGCAAGAGAAAGAGAAGGCACAAAATCACCCACAGCCACTGAAATTTTCTTTTGCGCTCCGGTGAGAAGATAATTTCACAAACCAAAACCAAACCAACAAACAAAAAAAGTGCGCTCCGTGAGCGGGAAAACAATAACAAAATCAAGAGACACACGATTATAAAACGCACAAAATAACTGAGTGACAAAAAAAAAAAATTAAATGCGTGTCTCATGGCTTGACTGTACTGTGTATTAAAAAATGTGATTGTGTCTGCTGTCTGTCCGTCTGATTTCGTGCTCGTGTGTGTGCTGTTGGCGTTTTTAAATGTGGCGCGCTATTTTTGTGTGATTTTTGTGGGCAGCAACGAATTTTGAAACATCAATTTTATACTAGTAGTCAGTCCCCTTGTGAAAAAGTCTCCTCCAACAACAAAATTCCTGTGAGCAGCCTACACACATGCGTTGTCTCGCTCTCGCACTCAGAGCGCGCGAGAGCGGGAGAGTGAGAGCGAGAGAGAGAGAGAGAGCTAATACTAACTTGTGTACTCTTTTTTCTTTTCTATTTTTCATTTCAGTTTCGAGAAAGCAGCGCGCCAAGCAGCAAGAAGAAGAGCGAAGGGAGTTGAAAAAGCAGTGGCGTTGTGGAGGAGGAGTAGAAAGGGGATTTTCGCGAAAAATCCCAACTTGAAGAGAATTTTCCCCGTAACCGTTTAACATTAAATCGTCGTGTTGGAGACAAATAGCAGCGAATACGCTAGCAACGCTGGGGAGGAACAACAATTGTTGGATTTGGACGCGACCGCTTTGATGTCGCTGCCAATGAATTCGCTGTATTCGCTCACCTGGGGCGATTACGGCACCAGCCTCGTATCGGCAATCCAATTGTTGCGCTGCCATGGCGACCTCGTCGATTGCACGTTGGCCGCCGGCGGGCGGAGTTTTCCCGCCCACAAGATAGTCCTCTGCGCCGCCTCCCCCTTTCTGCTGGACTTGCTAAAGGTGAGTGCTCGGTTCGGAAACACTGCCCAAAACACCTTTCAATAAGAGAGCTTGTACATAACCTCAAACGTGGCGTACAGTTTGTAAACAGAGAAATCCAATCGCAGAAATAGGTTAATGTGTGGAGCGCAGAGAAACTGACACTCACACGCAAATACATACATATGTATAAATAACGCAGATTCACGCTCCGCTCCAAAAGTTGTCTAGAGATTTTTGTACAAGTTTTCCACTGTCAATTGAGTTGAATGAGTGGCTCCGCCCCCCGCATTCCCGCCACCCATCTTGCTTATCAGCTTTTTCTTGTTGCAAAGTTCACCGGAGAACGAGAGAGTGAGACGTAGAGACAGAGCGCAGACAGAGAGGGAGAGAGCGAGAGAACCAGTTGGTTCGCCTGAAAGAAAAGTGGTTTAACCCCCCCGCCCCCCAGGGGTGGACCAGAGAGGGGAGAGCCGAAAGCTGCTGCGCCAACTTTCAGTTCGCATGTGTTAGAGCGAGCGCAAACGAGAGCGCCAAAAAGCAGCGCGGCAACTGTTGTAGTTGTTGGTTGGTTGGAGCTTTCGTCTTGCCTTTTGGTTCTTGCTGTTGTTGTTGGGTGCACACGAGCGCGACCTCTTTTTTCACAGGCAGAACTGTACAGTTGGCACTGGCTAGGGGGGAACTTGAAATATTGGGGATATGGATACAGATAAAAATATATTATAAATTTCATTTGTATTAATTTAAAGTTTTAATTTAATTTTCTTTCCTTTTAATTATTATCTAAGCAAGAGCTTACAGTTCGTGGTACCTGTAAAGTGTTATTTTATATTTCCAAATTAAGGCAGACAGAAAACTTTATTCAATTAAAAGTTCCTGAACATTGATAGACTTATCTACTCCATTTAATCTCTATTTAAATTTATAATATAGTGTCCAGGTCCAGATTGTACTTAAGATTAGCAAGCCTGTATGGGGCATTGAATAGAACCACTTCGCTCTTATCGAATCCGACCCGTATTCCTAGAAATTTATGCATTTCATATTAGAAGGGCGCACTTTTAAATGGAGCTTGCTATTTTTCCCTTTTTTCGTGAGTTGCTTTGCGATACTGTACTTCTTACCCACTCATTTGCATTTGCACTTTAACTTTGGCGCTTTTCCGCCACTCTATCGATTGTGCAAAATGTGCGCTAAAGTACATATGAAAATCAGACCGTCTTCAATGCGTGGCCCTATCGTAATGGAAATACTGACCAAAACAGAGGGCGGCCAGCGAAATGAAAACACCTGATGCGACGCCGGCAGCGGCTACTCTACGCTCCGCTCCCCCTTATTCTCAGCGCTCCTCATCTCTCCTCTCCTTTCCTGGGCCGTGAAAAAAGTAAACAGAGCGTAATTTTTAAAAACGCCGCTCAGAGCCGCCGTTGGGGAAATGTCAAAAGAAAAAAGAAAAAAACAAAAAGAACGGAACCAAATGCGGCTGTGAACTCTGCAAGAGTCCGAAATGTACAAGATGTACTGATCTCGTTACACTCACACACGCACGCAAAAACACATGGCGGTCGCTCTTTGTCGCTCTTGCTCCCTTGCTCCCACAGCAAATGGAATGCAACTCTGAAAAATCGATGAGCGAGACTTTGGATTTAGTTGGTGGTGGCAGAGTTCAAAGAGCGCGAATGGGAGTGTGAGGGGAAGTGTCATTTGAAGAGATTGGCATTGGATGAGGGGATGGTGTTGGTAAGGGAGGTGGCAAAGGGAGAGGGTTTGTTTTCTGAGTAGTGCTAGCTAATTAAATGTCCGGAGAGGGAGCGGAAGAACTGGTAAGCGCTCTTTCTTTAAGCGCTGCTCTGTTTTCTTTTTCAGCATCTCGAAATCTCCTCAAAATCCTGCAGCAGAATGTGCAGAGCGCGCAAAAGTAAAAGCCGGTTGTCTTTTGTCTGTGTCACTGTGTGCGTGAGCGGAGGAGAGTGAGCGCGTCGCACCGCGAGTTTCCATTATTTCCATCTCCGTCCGACTGTTTTTGTTATTGTTTTTATTTGGTTTGGCGGACGGACGAACAGGCCTCTCAATTCACGCCAAAAATGTGAGACGATTTCAAAACAAACAGAACTCTCTACGATGAAGTTTAAGCCAAGGGAAAAGTATACTGAAGAACCTCATAACTAGTGGCAAAACGTTTTTTTTCCTATGGAGAAGTATTAAACACGTTCCCTACAAGAAATGGAATTTTAAACTGCGACTATGATATAACGTAGTTATATAAGATTTGTAGTTTTCATTTAGCACATATATATAAATTTTACTAGAAACCGGTTTTGGCTATCGGACATAATTTTATGCGAAAGAGAAAAAATAGTTACTATATACCAACTGAAATCAAGAAAGCCTCCAGCACTCTAGGTATACTAAATAATACTAATATCGTTTTTTAGTTACCTGATAATATATCAACAAGTCACACCCTTCTTACTTATCTGATTTTCCTGATTTTTACAGAACACACCATGCAAGCATCCAGTGGTGATGTTGGCTGGCGTCAATGCGAACGATCTGGAGGCGCTGCTGGAGTTTGTGTACCGCGGAGAGGTGAGCGTGGATCACGCCCAGCTGCCGTCGCTACTGCAGGCTGCCCAGTGCCTAAACATCCAGGGACTGGCCCCGCAGACGGTGACCAAGGACGATTACACCACGCACTCGATACAACTGCAGCACATGATTCCGCAACATCACGACCAGGACCAACTGATTGCGACGATCGCCACGGCCCCACAGCAAACGGTTCATGCCCAGGTGGTGGAGGACATCCATCACCAGGGCCAGATTCTCCAGGCAACGACCCAGACCAACGCAGCAGGACAACAGCAGACAATTGTGACCACCGACGCGGCTAAACACGACCAGGCAGTGATTCAGTCTTTTCTCCCGGCACGCAAACGCAAACCACGCGCAAAGAAAATGTCACGTAAGTTAAACCCTCATGTTTTTTTTTAATTAAACCCTTGATTCATTTTTAATAAACTCTCAACGTATTAAGTAAGCATTAGAAACGACCCGAATAATAACATCAATTTCCTTCTTGTGCAGCTACGGCACCGAAAATAAGCAAAGTTGAAGGAATGGAAACGATCATGGGCACACCGACCTCTTCACACGGCTCTGGATCCGTGCAACAAGTGCTTGGCGAAAATGGAGCCGAGGGCCAACTGCTAACATCCACACCGATCATCAAGAGCGAAGGACAAAAGGTAGAGACGATTGTGACCATGGACCCCAACAACATGATACCGGTAACGTCGGCCAATGCGGCAACTGGCGAAATAACAACGGCACAAGGAGCAACTGGCTCATCTGGCGGCAATACAACCGGCGGCTTAAGCACTCCAAAGGCTAAACGAGCTAAACATCCGCCCGGATCAGATAGTGAGTTTTAATTTTGGTGTATGCACTAGAATAACTAATTAGAAGTATATTTTTGGGTTTTGAGAAGAATGCTCTTTGCTAGAGCCCGTGAATACCGTCAATTTATCATCCCATAACGTGGTCTTAGTACTAAAGAACGCTCTTTTTCCGTTTTCAGAACCACGTTCGCGATCACAATCTGAACAACCCGCTACTTGCCCCATTTGCTATGCTGTCATTCGTCAATCCAGGAACCTGCGGCGCCATCTCGAGCTGCGGCACTTTGCCAAACCCGGCGTGAAGAAGGAGAAGAAAAGTAAGTCCGGTAACGATACAACCCTAGACTCCAGCATGGAGCTGAACACCACGGCAGAGGGCGACAACACAGTGGGCAGTGATGGACCAGGCGGAGCAGGATCAGCAGGAGGACAATCATCCGGTACGACGCCAACGAGAGTGATATCGAATGCACCGCAGGCCGCGGGGGCGCCGGCCATCCTGGCCCAAAGTGTGCTGCCCCAGCAGCAGCAACTGCAGCAGCAACACCAGCAGCACTTGACAGCGGCGACATTAGCGGGTGGTGGACAGGCATACATCAAACACGAGGGCGGCGGCGGGGGCGGCACTGGGCAGCAGCAGCAGCAGGCACAACAGCAGGGCATGCAGAACGTCATACACATTGTGGGCGATCAGGTCTTCATGCCGCAGCAGCAACAGCCGCAGCCGCAGTAGCCACCTCCAGCCGAGCCTTCAATCATTCCAACGCACCAACGACACCATCATCCACATTTCCAAAACCAGAAAAAAAAACAAACACCTTGCATAACACTCACGAAAACGTTTTGTAAATAACAATCAGCAAACAAATTCCCCGTGATCTGATCGAAGGATTTGTGTTCATTTCCTGTATCATTTTTAATTTTTTCATAATTAATTGCTGCGTAAGTTTATAATTTGCATAACTTTTCAAAATTGCGCTTCTTAACATATAACATTTTCTTATGCAGTATTTTCTTGCATATTGCACCACAGAGAAAACGAAAAAGAGAGAATTCCGTATGTCTCCACGTAAAGAATACTCGATTAACTTACTTAAATAATCTAATTAGTGTCGCAAATAATTGTTGTAAAAATTAAATGTACAATTACAATCGAGGATCGCAATCGGTTTAAGTTTCTCTATTTTAAATATTATATTACAAATTGTTTAATTAATAAAATATTATATATTTTTTTATATAACAAAAACAACAAAAAATTAATCTCTGCCTGTGGCACGGACTTTAATTTACTGCAATTGGCTGTTTATTATTATTGTTTCTCTTAGTTGCAAGAAAATACTGTTGGTCGATTTCCAAACCTACTAACTTCGTACTGATCTTTGTAATGTTTCGCAATTCTTCTGGAAGAGTTGCTTGAAGCTTTAAGTCATTGGAGCACATCTTGCGGATTTAGAATTTACATCCTGGCTGATAATCGTATTTAAATGTCATGAATTGTACGTTGAATTTTGTTACGTTGTTATTGTGCCTTTATATAACTACACTTTTGTTTTATTATTTATCATTGCTTTGAACAATGTTTCACTAGATCTTTTGACTCCAATTTATATATTGTTCATATTGATTTTAACCTATATTAACATTTGTTTTGTCTTGCGTTTTTTGATCGTTTTTTTAACACCTTTCATCTACACTATTCACACATCTTCATGTCCTAGAAATCCGCGTTGTTTCTCTATTGGGCCAGCGATGTTGCTGTAGTGTCGTCCTCTCGCTCTGTACTACTCCTACTATCCCCCTGTATACATCGGCTCACTCCAGCGGCAGTCTTCTCACCAGCAACTCATTCCTTCCTTGCAGTAATCAGTGGCAAGAAGTCTAGCAGCGGATCCAGCGGTTCGGGCAGTGGAGCACTGAGCTCCAGTGGCAGTGTGCCACAGGTCCAGACGGTTCAGTCCCTGCACACCTTGCAGGGTGTGCAGGTCAAAAAGGATCCGGATGCCCAGCAGCAGCAGCAACAGCAGCAGCAGCAACAGCAGCAAGCAATGACAGTGAGCGGTGCGGCGGGCGGACAAGTGCAACAGCAGGTGCAGCAAGTGCAGCAGCAAGTCCAGCAGCAGCAGCAACAGCTGCAACATCACCAAATCATAGACTCGTCGGGCAACATTACCACGGCCACGACGAGTGCTCAAGCGGCGGCTGCCGCACAGCAACAGGCGGCTGGACAGCAGCAGCAACTAGTGGCTCAATCCGATGGCAGCGAGAGTGGAGCTCCGCTTTCGATTGCTCAGGTGCAGACGCTGCAGGGCCATCAGATCATCGGCAATTTGAATCAGGTGAATATGACTGACTTTCAACAACAACAGCAGCAGCAACAGCAACAACAACAGCAGCAGCAACAGCAGCAGCAACAACAGCAGCAACAGCAAACACAACAGACGCTCTGATCGGACCGAAGTCTTAGATCCACCTTGTACTATTCTATACAAATATTAATTTGGGTTTTTGCTAAACGCTTTAAATATTCTCTTTGCGGAATGCGTAGACGAATTCTAAATTAGTTTTAGAAAGCCCGAAAGGCATATTTAGTTGTTTACCATTTTGTTGTACAATTTTATGACTTTAAATGTTGATTTGCCCCCTACAAATTATTTTGTTGCTAGATAAACGCTAAAGTGCTCTATGGTTATTGGAAATTACTTGCATATTTTACATACTTTATAAATATTATCATTTTGTATGGTGTTCCAAATGTCCCAATGCTAGAGGACCTCTAGTCACTTTGAAGTCCTGCAGATCAGTAAACACCTTAATCCAACAAGGATCCCTTGCTCACGGTTAGATTTTGGCCTTGAGCGATTGCTCCTTGATTTAAAAAATATGAATTAATTACTTAGTATACAATCCTTGATGTACGAGGATTTACTTAAGCAGCTCAAAAGTTCTTGATCTGATCAAAAGAGAGTTCGCTCAAGATGGTTTCCAAAAACCTGATTCTGTGTCTGCCCACCAACAACCACTCAAGTAATCAATTCGATATCTCTTCTTTCGTTTTTGTTTAAGAATTAGGCGCTGTATGTTTAAATTGAACCAATTTTATATGTATATTTCTTAATTTTAATAGTTGCAAATTTTTCTTAAAATTTAGAACCGTTGTAGTAGTTTAGGTAGATGAAATACATTCCTGGGAATTATGATTTAATTATATAAATTTGAACGAAAGGGTATATTTCATCTAGCTCAACTGGTCGAATTATTGTTAGTCTTCTTACATACTTAAATAAAATCTAATTTTATTTAAAACAATTTACAAAAAATAAGTTTAATAAAACAAAACCTTTTTAAACAAAATTATTCTTAGTATTTTCTCTTGTTTTCTCCTTTTCGGTGATGGTCCTTTTTAATTTAATTTTAATATTAATTAATTCATAATTGCTTTATCTACCTAGTCTAACATTTGTTTAAGTATTTCTTGTAATTATTTGCATGAATGGACATTTTTAATATTTCTTGTATAATAGATTTTCGCTTTTCCTGATTGCAAGACGGTTGACCTAAAAAATAAAGACTGCAACCTAATGAAGCATCGATTAGTGACTAATGACACTTACACAGCACCAACGAAAACTCATCCACACCACATGCATTTTCCACAGCAGTTTACACCATTTTGCAACACATGAGCAATCATTAACCAATCGTTTTTATCTTGTCTTCTTCTCTTTCTCGCTGCCACGTTAATAACAACTAAACGCCATCTAACCAATCCAATTCAATACATCTGTGTGTAAAAACTAATCATTCATGCATCCGCCAACAATCAAAATCATAAAAAAAAACAGGGCAACAACAAGAACATTTTGGTAAAGAAGGTTTTCATTTTGAAAGGCGGTAACAATACGTAATGATGATCCAACGATATGTCCAGCGGCCCTGGAGGAGGAGGAGGAGAAGGTGGAGGAGGCGGGAGCGGGCAGCAGCAGCAGCAGCATAACAACAGCAGCGCGAGCCACAACAACAGCAGCAACAACTGCGGCACGGCAGCAGCAACTCAATTGAGCAGCAGCAGCAACAGCAGAAGCATCACGCCAGCAACATCGACATCATCGACTGGAACTGGAACTGGAGCAGGAACCACATCCACACTGCAGCGTCGCATACTGCGCGGTCATGCGGCGCAGACGACCAGCGGCGAACGTGTCCTGCTTATCAACTATGTGCCACAATCGGGAGCATCAGCCACCGCATCCACTCAGAGTACTTCTCAATTGCCCACCCGTAAGATACTCCAGGCCAGAGCCTCGGCGGCAGCAGCAGCAGCAGCAACATCATCATCATCATCATCTGGTGGCGGAGGAGCAGGAGCTTCATCCTCCTCGCCACCATCCACGCCAGCTGTTTCGTTTGCCGGACTGGGCTCCGAGGTGACAGTCACCTTGACGCGCACAAATCAGCGCGCTAGCGTGACCAGTGTCACTGCCGCCGGTCATATTGTTCGAAATCAGCAAGCCACAGCCTATCATCAGAGCACAAACGCCGCCAACACATCATCGACCCCAAGTGGCACGTCAGCGATCCATGAGCACTTGGCTACATCAACGTCGCCACCGCCACTGGTGTTTACCCATCATCCACATCATCACCACAGTCAGCAGCAGCAGCAGCATCAGCAGCAGCAGCAACAGCAACATGAGTATCACCAAGAGCACCAGTTGGTGGACCACCATCAGTTGGATCAAGAGCACATAATCATAGACCATCACCAACAGACGGAGGATGATCAGTTGATCGAATACGATGATAGCGGAGCGATCGAGGAGCAGCATCAGCAGTTGCAAATGCAAGAGGATCTGCAGCAACAGCAGCCACATCATGAAGTTGTCCAAGAGGTGTATCTTCAGTAGAAGAAGTAGTGCTAAGCCATAGGGATATAAGTTTTAGCCACTCTACATACAATTTTGGAACACCCAAAATGTGTGCAGCAGGAGAATCGAATTTGACAAAGCTTTAATTTGAAATTTTTTTAAAAAATGTATCTGTATCCTAGGTTTTTATTCCACTTAACTTTCTATATATAATCACCTGTTTCAATTGCACACATTTTGAGGAATGCCAATACCAGATAGTGTACATAAATACAACCTAATTAATAACCTTAGTAATGTGGACCTTTTAGAACACCATGTTTCAATTTGTATATAATTTTCGGACAAGTAGAAAAATATTTTCCAATGAAAGTATTAATCTTAAAGTAACATATTGAAGTAAAAATTCAATTAATTACGAGTTAATAAAGATTATTTTTGTACTATACAAATACCGCTTCTAAATACATGCTAGTTGAGAAAAATGCGGATATTAAATAACCTTTGACGATATATTCTATAAGTTATTGTCAGTTAAAGATCAAAACAAACAATCGTAATCAATTGTATGATATATACACTTCAACGTAGAGAAACAAACTTCGCACATATGTAATACGCATGTATGTATGGATCAATTCAACTCCGATTGTTTGAAAACTGTTTGATAACGAGGCCCCTTTGGATTACATTTGGAATAGACCGACAAGTGTCTGTTCTTGAGGAGAAACATATTCATGCAACCCAGTATTTGGGGCCAAGGCAATAAAGTGAGCCGGATTGTGTACTGAAAGAAAAATGAGTAACTTGTGCACTTTTTACTGGGGGTGCAAAAGGCAGTTACGTTTTAGTTAGCAATTGAAACACAGTGGGGTTTTGTATTGTTTTATCTATTTATTGTTTGTTGCCTTTGTAACGGTTGCCTATACACAATGTTGGTTTCTAATATACAAAAAGCCATTTAACAGCTATCTTTTTAACTATTTACAAATTTTATTACTTTCTCTTTACAAGTAGCAAACTAAAAAGCTACAAAAATTACGTACTACCTTTTGTTTTCTTTATATTTAATTTACACGTTGTGGTTACCATTTAAAATGTCTCTCCTACGATTGGTAAGCTTAAATTGGGGCGCTTGGAGGTGTTTGAATACACAATTTGTAATTGAATTGCAATATCTACAAAAATGTTTGTTTTCATTAGCATGTAATCAGGCACTAGCTAGCCAATATTTTCCATTAATTGCAGCTATTTTAAATAATTGTTTGTTTGATTTATCCTGTTCTCTTTAAGATAAAAATGTCTTAAAATGCAATTTGAAAAGATTATTGTTCAAAGTTATCTTATAACACTTTTGGACCTGCATAATGTTGGTTTATAGTTTTTGTTTAACTTTTCTGTTTAAGCATTTTGAACCTTGTATCAGCTCAAGTTCTTTGATTAATTAGTTTTTTAAAGTTCTTGTTTAATTTGCAAATCTATTCCATTTTTAAGTACCAATTTTTCTTTCTCACTTTTCTATTAGCGGCTGAACATAGCTAATCATTGGATATTATCTGGCAATTATAACTATAATGTCTATTATGTCAGTGTTTTTTTATCAATGTTTATGTTGCACAATTATTGCCCTGATTATTTGGCACTTTTCATTAGGCGACTGCTGGCAAAACATTCGCCAAAGAAGCGATCCAGAGAATGATACAAATGGGGTCGCACATTGGACAGACCGTGATCCTCGTCAGCGTAGCTCTAAAAGATCAGCCAATTTTAATTAAAAATCCTTTGGGCCTTGCTATACAGGCCAATACTCACAATTTGCTTGAAGAGTATGTCTTGACGCTCCAGGTTTTTGGCCAATATCATGGCTTGCTGGTAGTGCACATTGTCATCCAGTGTGCCATGCACCAAAAGGTATTTCTTGCCCCTCAGCTTCACGGCCATTGTGCTCAGTCTAGAGTTGGCATAGCCCACCTCATTCGTATTGGGAAGCCCCATATAGCGTTCTGTGTAGATGGAGTCTGTTGGGCCAAAATAGACTTTGTTAGTTAAGTCAAAAGTGTGCGGGAGTGTGTAGACCCACCATAGTAAGCCCAATCCGTGACTGGAGCGATCGAGGCTGCGCACTTGAACACCTTAGCTTCATCATTGGCCAGCGCCATGGCAGCTGCGTAGCCACCATATGACCAGCCCCAAATGCCAACGTGATCGGGATCGATGTAGTTGAACAGCTTGGAGAGTTTTCTAAAGTAAAGTAAAGTTTGCTGTAGTTGTTTACGTTGTAAACATTACTTTTGCCAATTACTTACTGGGTTACGTTGATCTGGTCGCTGATCTCCACGGTACCCAGCTTCAAGTAGATGGCATGGAGAAGACTCTCTCCACGGAGTCCGGAGCCACGACCATCGATCTTGGCATAGATCACAGACTGATTGGAGCTCAGATATGTGCCCCAGTCCACCATCCATTTGTTGGTAACCTATAAAAGTTACAAATATGCAATACTCGCTAACTTTTTAGAGCTTTGGTTTTACTTACGGAGTAGGAATCTGGGCCACCGTAGACGTCCACGAGCATGGGATACTTGGTAGCGCCACTTGTGTCCAAGTTGGGCGGCAGCTGGAGCAGCACCTTGGCCTGGAAGCCACCGTCAATGTCTACGGTGAGGATCTTGTGGGAGGGCAGAGCCACGCCCTTCAGTTTGGCACGCAGGCTTTCATTGGTTTCCCAGTCGAGGACTTTAGAGATGACGACTTGAGCTAAACAACAAGATCAGATGTTGAAGGCAGGAAATATAAGTGTATACTATTTTTTGCCAAACTTACAGTTTTCATATTTCCACTCGTATATATGGGTAGTTGGAATTCCAGGTCCCTGAGAGGTGATCACAATGTGGTTATTGTCGTTGAACGTGGCCGAGAAGTAGTTCTGTTGCACATCCCCGGACTTGATAAGGTTGCACGTGAGGCACTTGGGACTCTGCTTGGCCAGTGCCCGAATGGCGTACAGATGCAGCTGCTCTGGATGATCCTCTGTGTTGGCCGTGTAGAAGATGATGTCGTTGGCTCCGTCCCAGTGGAGGATGCTGTCCACCACATACTTGCCCTCGGTCAGGGGCTCCAGCGCTTGTGGCTCGGCACTGGCCACCGTGGAGCTCAGTAGCTGGACGTGCTTATAGTTGTTGTGGGGCAGGACGAAGGCCAGACGGGATCCATTGCGGTTACGGAAGGGAGCGGTATAGAGATCCACCCAACCGGTCTTCGACTCGGCACTATAAATCTGCAACACGATGATTCTTTAGTTATTATGGAAAAAGTTATACATTTTTATACCCGTTACTTGACTATAGCATTCTATCTTGTTAATTATGGTTTACTATAGTTCGCCATTGAAGGTTAATTATTCGTGTTTGATTTAAATAAAAATAACAGTATTTAAAGAAAGCTACACACATTTCATTACCAATTATTAAAATATAAATTGTTGATCGGCATGTTTGTATTACAAAATAATGTGCTTACCACTTTCCTGTTGAGTCCGTCAAAGGTGACGACGTAGGCGGCATTTTGGATGCGGTTCATCCAGATGGAGAGAACGTTGGCATTGTCCACCCAACTGACCACGGTGACAATGTAGTCCGTTTCCGTGTTGAGGGCCGGCGGAACGGGCATCACGGTCACGAAATCACTACCAGCAACGGCTCGCTTCAGATCGACCATCACCAGTTCCACCCGAGGATTCGAGGACCCAGCCTTCGGATAGGCGATGACCTGGTGCAGTGGATACTGATAGCGCAGATCTCCGGCATCTCCGTAGTAGGGGAAGTTGATCAGATGGGTCGACGAGTCGTCGAACTTGATGAAGGCCAATTGGGTGCCCGAGGGGTTGAACCAGGTGGCCACATTCGAGCTGAACACCTCCTCCTCGTACACCCAGTCGGGAATGCCATTCAGTATGCCCACTTGCTCATCGCTAGTGATGGCGATCTCCTGCACCAAAGCACTTTCCTTATAGTACAGATTCCGATCGTAGTTGATCACAAGGGCATTGCCCACCGGCGACCATTGGACCATGCTCAAGTAGGGCTGCTCATTTTGGATGGTCAGCGGGCTGAATACTTTTGTGTTCAGATTGTACAGATCGTACTCCGCTAGGAAGCTATACCGGAAGTTCTTCTTGTAGTTCTTCGCCAGCAAAAGGAACTGTCCATCGGCGGACTTTTCGTACAGGACGTAGTGCTGCGCATTTTCCAGCAGCGTGGTACGTTCTCCTGTCTTGGCATCCAACTCCATGATGGACTGCATGGGGGAAAAATAATTGTAGTTAATAGTTGGTATGTTTATAGTGCGGAAACGTAACATGAAGCCACACGAGATATGATATTTTATTTCTACCTCTATCTACCTCCATCTACCTCTATCTACCCTTAGAATGTTAAACCAAAGACTTTAGAATAACAAGATCTCCATATCCCGCCATATCCCGCCAGAGATCCCGCCAAACTTTTGCGACAGACCCAAAATGCATCTTGTTATTCTAACGTCTTGGTTAAGCCTTACCGCATTCTCCTTGAAAATGAGGCTGTTTCCATTGCTCCAGCTGCCGTTGAACCGCTTGGCGTACAGCTGACCATTCAGCACATCCTCCAGATCGATGGCATTGTTCGAGTTTGAGTCGGAGTCGTCGGAGTCGTCGGAATTGTCCTTCTCGTCCGTCCGGAGAATGAAAACAAGGGCCGTGGCCAACAGAGCCAGCGCTATGACCGCGGTAACGACGCTCAGGATTATCCGCACCCGGCGCTTCTTCTCCTTGGTATGCATTAGATTCTGGGGGAATCAGAAGTTTGAAATTGGTTAGTATCACTTAAATTAGTACGAATCTGCCAACAGTTTAAAAATTTCTTTACAATGCACATTGCCATTTTGCACAAGGTTAACAAGTTTAATTAATATAGTTGTACAGAAAAAGAGAATGCACTTTCGAAATTGTAAGCCATGAGTTCGTTAGCCCCTTTTCCGTGTAGGGAAATTGGCTCCTATTTCGAATGGACCACCATTCCGCGATTTCCATTCACATTTCTATGTAATCGGCCACATTTCTTCTGCGCTGGCCAAAAGTGCAACTTGGCCAGCCAGATAACAAGGCTCGAACAAAACGCGCACTTCGGCCAATTCGGGTACAAATCAGCCACCAAATCAGCCACCAAATCAGCGGCACCAGGCACGTATATACTTATATACTGTACTTTATGAGGAAAGTGACGTTGCGCATGCGCAATGACTTTTTCTTTCTCATACCCATTCACTCAACGTGTTCCACTCAAAACGCCGAAGGCAAAGCAAAATGCAAGGGATATGGAAGAAGATATTGGGGATAGACCTATGTATATATACCTTTTATAGGGAGAGGGACGGCAGCCAAATGAGTGCGCAAAGTGTAGAGCGAAAATGAAAGTAGTTTTTTGTTAACCAGCTGCAGACTGGGTCGACGATAACTGGTTTATGCTCTGGTCGGATACTGAATATAGGTATATATGTACATTTAGGTGGGAGAGGTGTCAACAGGGGGGAGAGGGGATGCCCAGGGGCTGCGGCAATTGCCTCGTGACGTAAGTGAGTAAATCCACTTATAGCTTTTTTCGCATCGAGTATATGTGTTTGGAGTGGTCGGTGTTTCGCCCATTTGTATCTTTTACATAATTTTCCATTACGCGACCAAGTAATTGAAGTTGTCCACACCCAAAAAAGACAAAGAAATCCAGCGCACTTGTTTCAGCTTTTTACCTATATATTCAGATAGACTT